GGGGGGGAGGGATTGGACAGATGGTTTGAGTGGATACGTAGCGTGGATTCTTTGGTGGTTGCCTAGGCCACGTAAGGGAGAAGGGGAGGTGGGTGATGGGTGGGAAGGAGTTTTTGCCGCGGATACTAGGGCAGGGAAAGGGTTGAAGTATAGCTTGCTTCAGGAGTGCAGTTATAGTCGGGATACAGAGGAAGTCAAATATTGCTTTGCAGGAAGGATTTCAGGACAGAATAAAGGAAAAGAATTAAGGTCGAGGCAGAAACTGCAGACAGCAGTGAGGAGAATGAGGAAATAAAACAATACAAAAAAAAAAGTAATTTAAAGCAAGCCTAGCTAGCTGGAATAAAATACTGAAAAAGTGAATCTAAAAAAAAAACTGAAAACGTAAATTATAGCGAGAAAAAAAAGTAAAAGCAAACGAAAAACCCGTCATCAGCAGGAGATCTTTCGTTTATAAAACTGTTGCTTAGGTAAAGCTGAGAGCGAATAAGGGAAAGGTAAGAGCTTGCAGCTTTACCTAAGCACCAGCTTCATAAATAGGGAAGCCTCCTACTCATTTTTTCTTTCATAAGTTTAGGTTTTCTTTAATTCACTTGTCTTTGTGCTGCTCTGTTGCCTCTTCCTCTTTACTGCTGTCTCCAGTTCCTGCCTCGAACTCCTGACTAGTACCTCTATTTCCCTCCTCTGTCCTGCCCCGAACCCTGCTTGCCGAGCGGCATCTGGACACCCATCACCCACCACCCCAACCACTGTCATCGTTAGTCGTTTGGAATTCTTCCCAAACGCCCTTGTTCCTCCCCTCCACTCTGCCCCAATCCATGTCCCCCGGAGGTATATCAGGCCACCCACCCACCGCCACCCTCCAGCTATGCGAACCTCTCCACCTAACGCCTCTCCCTCAACTACGCGTTTCATTCGACAAGCCCTGGGTGTCGCGCTACTCAGCGCCCTTACAGAGCGCCAAGCGCGTTAGCAGGTCTCGCTGCGAAGTAACCTTAACAGAGATGCTAGAGTAACGGACGATCCGAGGTTCAAGTAGTTGCCCTAAATTTCCAGCCTTTCGTTTTGTCGGTTCTCGAGGGCAAAAAATTCCGCACTAAAACTTTCAGCGATATCTATACGCAGGATTTAAATTTGGGGGGTCGCACGTAGACAGGGGACATTCTCGTAAAATTTCAGCTTCCTACCTTTGAGTTGAAAAGCGGAGACACATGCCGATAGGGGCAGCAACATACATTTTGTGTTACTGCTAAGACATGACGCAAGAAACAAAAAAGAAAATAAACGTTCATTTAGTCGCTGAAAGGGAATGTGTTGATCCAATAAGACGTATACATTCCCGTTCACTACCACACTTGGACCTCGTTGTTACGATGGTTGTGGTATTAGCAGTGCACGTAATGATCAGTCATTAAGACTGGTCATTATAGGCGTTTGCTTTTCTCACTTGACCTAGCAGCATTTTTTTTTCTTTTTAGGTTCAGACTGAAAATCCACTGGTTTTGATTGATGAAGTTGATAAAATAGGTGGAGCAAGTTATCATGGTGATCCATCATCAGCACTGCTCGAATTATTGGATCCTGAACAGAATTCCAATTTTAACGATCACTTTCTGGATGTGCCGGTTGATTTGTCGAAGGTTACTTTTTAGTTTACTTTTTTGACGCACAGGAACGGCGGGAAGGGATATCATCCAACCTTTTTGTCTACTCTGTCATTTTTACAAGTTACAAGAACCCTAAAAGCAACTTATTGTTGTGTAAACTTGGAATTTGAAAAATTTGTTGAGTATTTTTGCCTATTTTGGTGCAGTGCAAAGCGTGATAAGCCAGGTTGCTTGCGACTATGTGTTTTTGCGCTGTTATCCAGTTAGTATGCCTTGTTGCTCGCAGAATGGGAGGGGCGGCCGCAGTTTTGTGCTCTAAAGTTTCGCGTTTTCGCACATGACACCTTGGTAAAAGCTGAATTCCCATTTCTAGCTTCTTCGTCATACATCGCTATGAACATCCAGTTTTCTGATTTGTCCGCCCCGGTGGAAGAGTAAGTAGTTTAAACTTCCACGTATATGCGAGATTATGAGAGTTGGCTCATATTTTTCAAAGTGTGATAACGTAGGCGAAGGCCAGGCGTTTTTCAGTTTTCTAGCTTATCTGATCCCCGAGTTGAAAAATTACCAGTATTTTACAGTTTGAAATTTGAAGTTGTCCATGCATGTTGTGCATGCCCATGTGAAAACTGATTTTAAATTTCTAAAAGCTAATCTAAACAAAAAGTCTTTATAACATTTCATCTTTCTTTGTTTCCCTTGGGAATTGGAAGGCTGCCAGCAATTTTCTGGTTTGAATTTCCGTGTATTTCTTCTGTGCAAGTGAAAAACTTTGCTAGATTCTTGGTTGTACCAGCAATTTTGTGTGTCCGATACGTGTGTCCAATTTTGTGTATCCGCTAATTTTGCGTTTTTAAAGAGCTGCACGGACGCACTCATAAAATTTCAATTTCTTGGCCTCTGTGGTTGTTAAGTTAAAAAACCAGGACAAAAAGTTACACATATACACGCACATGCATACATACATACCAAACACACATACATTCACACTCATATGTACAGGGTCTTGATAATGTTCGTTTTGCCTTGCAATGATTATGTAAAATGACGTAAAAATCGGCCTCGTGTTGATTTCTGTAAATCCTTGATTTTGATGTAGATGTGCGTTGAAGATAGTCCTCTGGAACTCCATTTGATGGGCAAAACTCTTCTAGCAATGGTATCTCTTTATTTAGAATTTTTCAGATTTTCCTGGAAAAAATAAATCATTACAGGTTTTGTTCATTTGTACAGCAAATGTGACGGATACGATTCCGGGGCCGCTAAAAGATCGCATGGAAATGATCGAAGTATCGGGATACGTTGCTGAAGAAAAAGTTAACATAGCACAGAGCTATTTGATACCTCAGTGTCGGAAAGACAGGTAATTATTCCAGTCTTTTTTCCACGCCCCATGCGATATCGTTTGTTATTAAAAGCAAACTACCGGGACAGTTATCGGAACGATTCTTTGTTAGTGGTGTAACTGGGTTTCATCTAAACGCTTGGCGTACCTATTTTCAAGCCCTTCTGTCTGGGATGTACGCCGTCAAGTGGTACCTGCCACTTGCTTGAGCTATGCATCATCCACTTCCTTGAGGGCGACCTTGCTGATTATTTATTTCCTCGACAAGCGCCATCCACTGATACACGGCATTTTGGTACTGTGAGCTGTATCTCTGGCCATCAGTAATTTTTATGCGTTTTTTGCATCTGTGCAATGCAAAAACATATTGTTGTAGGGTTGCCTGTAGTATGTGTCTTTGTCTGTGCTTGTCTGTCTGTCTGTATGTTCGTCTGCGCGGATTTTTCATCTCGAGACCTACAAAAGCTACAGGGCTAAAACTTTGTCTACATGCACGTACGGGCTGCCATCCACAGAATGGTCTCTCTTGCCCACGTGGTTTCCACGTATGGATCCGTCAAAGTCTTTGGCGAATAAGTTGCTAACTCGTGAACCAGAAAAAATAGAAGACTGAAATTTTAAGGGGATGTTCCTATCCATGTAGAACTTAATGACTTCAAATTCAACCGCTAGGTATGCATGGTTCTCACATACAGATTCGTGAAAATTTTTTGTGGAGAAGTTGCTAGCTCGGGAACCTGAGAAGTTTTT